TACCCATAGATTGTTGTGAAATATAACATTTTTTTAACCAAGAGCCTAAGCATGATGCTTAGGCCAAATTATCCCCTTGCCTCACTCCACTCACAAATGGTCAGGGAGACATAATTACTAATGAATCAGATAATCATGTAGGAATTTGTCTGCACACAAGACTTAACATTATAGAAAGGGACAAGGTTCATGGTTTCACAGAGACTTCCTGCTGTATCCAGCTGAATCAAAATAACAAAGTTTATAGAACTTCCTCTCCACGTTCTAAAACTTCAGTCTTTGTATATTCAAGTGTGTATTTGCGTATGACTTTTGATGACAGACACTGAACAAGTATACAATTACAGAAATCAAAAAGTGACTACTTTCTGCTCTTCTCGCTTTTCTGATGACAATCTTTAAAAATGCAGTTTGTGCATTTTTAACTTTAGAGGATAAAAACCAATTACTCTGGTAGAATATAACCCCAAATCATTTGGCATTATCTTCAAGCCATTTTCATGAAATCATTTTTATTATTCTGGATGGTTTTATTACTCTGGATGTAAAATTCATCTTACAACTTTTACACAAGGCAAAAAGTGCATTACATTCATTTAACAGGGTTTTTATTATTTGGATTAATTTTTCAACATACAACTTAATGTAAGCTACAAAAGTTGTGAAATGGTAATATAATTATTAAATAAAAGAAAAAATACACCCTCATCAAGTTTTGATTTTTTAAATGTTCTTTTATACAGGTTAAGAACTTGCAGTTTACAGACGACCCATAGTTAAGAACAGAGCCTATTGTAGCAAAATTCAAGTTAAATACACAATGGTTTGAATTAATTACACAATACTACTAATATAGTATTATACAATAATACTGTTCCAGCTTACATACAAATTTGACTTAAGGACACACTTTGGGAACGGAACTCATTCTTAAACTGGAGGCTACCTGTATCTCCTTCCATAACTTAGATACACCAGAGTTTGGTGTATCATTTAGTAAGTGTAGCATATTGTTTGGAATAAGTTATAAAAACATTAATGAAACTAGTCCCATCAACAGCATGAAGAATATTTCATTTTTCCTTATTGGGAGAAAGAAATAAAATTTCTAGGCACAGTTTTAGGCATTATTTGGGACATAAAGGGACAATATATTTGTGTGCACTATTCTGTACAAAAATACAGTCTAAATAAATTACATTATTAATTATGAGATTAAACTTCAGTTAGCAGTCTTTCACTGCATGTTAATAATATACAGTTTACATGATAATCCATATGAGTGTGTGTGTGTGTATTACTTCTAATTCAAACACATAGATCTCTCTATTTCATTACATCTTTAAAATTTACATTTTGAGCTTAAAAAAGCTAAATGTAGTTGTGCAAGAAACCCAAGAAAGGTGCATTTGTCAGCATTTGATAGCATATTTTAAAAGCTTTAAAAATATGAATATCTAGCCCTAGTGGCAGTTTGGCTAAATGTGTGTGTGTGTGTGTGTGTGCAATATAAAGCAATGTATTTGTGGTACATGACATTTTCATGTTGGTGAGAGAAAGTGAAATGCAACTGAGGTGCTACTGCAAAATTTTTATAGAATATAATTATACATAAAATGTAGTTTCTTCACACAAACAGCCAAGTATTTAATCCAGTAGGTAGAAAAAGGTATTTCTTATGCTGCACTGCACATACCTATGTTTAGTCTTCAAATCCTTGAATTAATGATGTTTAAAAGGTGTAAATGAGCTGGAAAATGTGAACTTAGATAATAAAACAAAAAACAAAACCAAAAAACCTTGTGAACAACGTTTTCTGTTTCTTTTTTCATGAACTGAAAAAATTAAAATAAGGGATAAGGTTCTTACAGTGCTTCTTAAAGCTAGCTTAAGGTGTTTTGTCACATCTAGGTGGTAACCTGGTTCTATAAATTCTAATAACATATGAACTCCAGTAGGACTAGCACTGACAATGTTTCCTAGTCAGGTAATGAAACATCTGCAACCAAACAACCAAGCTCAGAGAGCACCAGGGACTCCACAGTTCAACCCTGAGCTACATATATATTCTTCTATTAATATATAAACTTGTCAGACCTTCCAAACATTGAAGAACTTCAGCAGCATCTTTCAAAATTGGCTGAGCTGCTGAAGCTACAGGGAGCTGTACTTTAGGGGTCTCATCTCTGCTTCAACAGAAATACTAAATACCATTATATGAAAAGATTCACAAATTAAAACTAGAATTCCTTGTTTAAATAGACAGATTCATACAAGACAAAGTACATGAGTCTGATCTACTGTTACATCATTAATTTCCATGGAACTGAAAAAACTTTTAGGTGTCCCCACCCAGGCATCTTCTTTGCATACAGTTTCCACAGCACGTACCATTAATCATGCAAAGAAATCGACCATAATTTTATTTAGTACAGTTTTTGAAAGGAACACTTTATGAAGCACCTTGGTGAAAATGAAGTATTCTCATTATGATAGACAATGTCTTCTGGAAATCTTGGTATGGCTGGTGTGATTGCAGACACAATACTTCATTGGTATTACTACTGAAGTGAAACAATGTGCATTCACAGATATACGGACAAAATTAGACAAAGTCTTTGAAGCAGCCATGCTAAGCATTTGGAAGACACCGCAGCTTTAAAGCTCTAGAACCATGTTTCTGAACCTTGGCAACTTTAAGATGTGTGGACTTCAACTCCCAGTGAATGTTGGGGAATTCTGGAAGCTGAAGTCCATACATCTTAAAGTTGCCAAGGTTCAGAAACACCACTCTAAATGGATGCTTCAGTCATGTAAATGTGCTTAAAAGTTGTTCTTTCATGTAGTTCAACCAAGGAAATACAAAAGCTGACTCTGAGTAGCACCCACTGAATTATGCTTGGGGATCAACTGAAGAGATGCAGTTAAGAAATTGCAGGGTTATGTCACTGAGTAAAGAGGCACCATTCTAAAGAATAACTACTTAAGACTTGGTTTATATAGAAACATGGATTCATATAATGAGCAAAGGGTGGATTCCATGCCCTAAATGGCCCATTCCAATTTCATTATCCTAGGTATGTAATCCAAGGAACTCATCCCTACAGTGCAGAATGATTCATCTGTCAACCTGTTTTTATCTGCATACTTTTCCTTTGGTGTAATTAGTTAAATACTTTCAGTAATTTTCATTTCCATTTTCTTCCAACAGGGATTATATCTAAATGTGGATAAGATTCCCAGGCTGTAGCATTGGAGAAATAAACAAGAGATCTGTGGCATCCACATAGATTAGCATGTCAGAAACAAAATCACACACATGCAGATGTGGCTGTATATAAAGAATCTAAAACTGCATTATACTGAATCAGACCCTTGGTCCTCCTAGTCTAGCTTTATCAGCTCTGGCAGCAAGTCTCCAACCTCTCAAGCAGATTTATTTTCCAGCACTCTCAAGGACTTCTGCCAGTTACTGGACATGGGCCTTTCTTCATGATCACTTGATGGCTGCAGAAATGTGCATTAAAATGGCTCTAGCTCACAGTGTGGACTGGGACATAACCCATTTACAGAAAAGGTTGGCCAACATGGAAATAAATATTGACTTCTACTTCAAATTGCATGCCATCATCTCTGCAATCCTGGAATGCCATCTCTTGTCTTCTAATAGTGGACTGCTGTTACACATATCTTCTTCACAATACTTTGGTTTCTTTAACCTTCGGTCACTGGTAATATGCTTGGCACATTTTGGTTCTCAAATTACTAAATATGTTTAGCCACACATGGAACATATTGAGCAATTCACCCTTTACTTCTTAACATTCTCTACAGACTCTGGGTTAGTTCCAGATGGAATT